TTCATAGTATGAAAGTGAAACTGAATGATTTTTTTAAAAATATCTCATTCATTAGTGAGTAAGCAATTATTTGGATGCACTAAACTGAATAAAAATTGAATTGTCTTAAAAGAATACATAATAATAATTTTTATGAAGCTTTGGAACACAAATTTGATTTCCGGTATGTGTTTTTTTTCCCTCTCCTGAAACAAAGTGACAGGGAAACATTTAATAATAATAAAAAGAAACAAGTTACTCTTTAAAAAAAAAAAATTCTTATAAGATCTCAAGGCATAATATTCCATACTATTTTTCTGCTCTCCCCTTTTGCCTGTGCTGGCTTAATGATCCACTCAGATGCCACTGCAGAGCTTTAAAAAGCATTGGCCTCTTTCTTCTTTAATTCAATGGTCTTGTCTACATCCTTGAAATCAGACTCACTGGATTGCAGCAGACATGGCTCTCTCCTTTAGAATATTTGAAATGGTTAAAACAAAACTTTCACATTTTCTATTATGCAATTTTCATATGTGTAGCAGTGGATTGGATGATGTTTTTGTAAGATTTGTCATTTGTTACATGTACAACTGTGATCAATATCCCAGTGGCTCCCAATTAACATCACATGTATCAGCTTGCAGTAGATAATTCATTTGTGAAAGCTAATTGTAATTCCTTTGTTATTATTTTTCACTACAACTAATTTTTAAAAAATTTCATAGCAATTTCTTTCTTTTTTAAATATATATATATATGTATATATATATATATATATATATATATATACAATACTTAATATATATTTGAATAAATATAGAATTTCTTTTTGTCATATCTCTCAGTATTGTCATTTTTATAAAAAATTTCATAGAAATTTCTTTCTTTTTTAAATATATATATATATGTATATATATATATATATATATATATATATATACAATACTTAATCGATAATTGAATAAACATAGAATTTCTTTTTGTCACATCTCCCAGAATTGTCATTTTTTAATAAATAGCTTTAACTCTCTTTATAAATACTTGAGTTATTACATGGGTAAGTAAGAATAAGTTGATAAGAAAGTCATTCCACCAGCATACTAATCAATCTGAGATTGAGCTGTCGGATATAATGAGTGGAAACCGGGAGATTTAAGAAACTACTATATAGAGAAAGGATTTGACAAATTGGCGCTATTGCATTATAAATGTTTCTTTTATATATAAAAGAGTTGTCGACTACTCACTTAAAAGTTTAGAAAAACCAAATTACTGAAATTTGTATTGAATAAACCTGGGCTTTGGCTAAGCTCTATGCCAAGGCTTTGGGGGGATGCCATCTTTTACTTTACAACCAGCTAGTTTCACAGCGACTAACTTAAAATACTTCAATGGGGGATCGGCTTAGCAATATTTCCATTTTAATTACTTATTTAAATAGGCAAAAACCTATTGCGGACATAACAGCATTATAGTGCTATGTTCAGCTTCCTCATTTGTTCTATTTTACTTAACTTATGGTCTGGAACTAAATGCAGGAGAGGGCTCTATATCAAATTATTTGATATTTTCTCATGTCTTTTTAAATTTTTGGGCAAATAACTTCAAGCAGAGAAATTTTAAGATAATTTTTGAATTATATGAAAGATATACTAAATGCAGCGGCTCAGTTCTTTCAATTTTTTACAATTTTACATTTTCTGTTTACATATTTAAACATACCCTACCCTCACCCTCATAAGCCTAGTGGTAATAAACAGGAAATGAATTGTACACATAATTCAACTCATGCCAGACACAGTTGTTTTGTCATAAGATACTAATGATATTTTTTGGACGCCCCCCACCCACCGCGCCCCCACCCCGACTGCATGCATTTTCTCTTCAGGTGTTTCCTACCACACCACCCCTCCCTTTTTGCTTCACCTATTGATCACTGTTGTTGAATGTAGGCTCTTGTAGAATTTCTCTATCTGATAGTTAGGTGTCCTATATAGATTTATCAATGGTACACTCTGTTATATGAATGTAAGGAGTATGGAGAAAAAAAACAGCGTTAAAATAAATGAATGTGATTTTTTATAGAAACTTTTTTTTTTCCACCCATCTCACATGTCAAAAACTTAATTTTTAAAAATTTTATTAACATACATATGCAGAAAACTGTTTTTTAATGTCCATATCCCAGCTATATATATTTTTCTTTCTTTGAGCAATAAAGAACATAGTTGATGATAAAAAAAATTTTAAGGATAACAATCGGGAAAACTGGATGTCTGTAAAGTAGGTCAACAAAAATAGTAGAGGTGAATGAACTGAATCCATTTGAAGAATATTAGCAGCTAAATGTCATTTTTTATTTTAAAAAAAAATTAAACTAAAAGTCATTTTTCTTTGTTCAGGCACACTGTGCTAAAAAAAACAATACAATTATTGAATAAGCGCAAGATATGTCTTGGTCAATGTACTCAATATTTCAGAATGCATGAAAGTCCCACTATTTTAGTTTTGTGGATACAGGCAGTTTTTTGATTTACGAATTATTTCTATTCCTACAGATACCAGTAGTTTTTTTTTAAAGGTTTTTGTACAAGATGAGTCAAACAATTGTATGTGATGGAATTATTAGGTTTTAGTGATCATCCACAAGCATGGTATTTTATATCAAAATATATCATTTATTTATAACCATATGTTACTGATGTCAATTAAAGTTGAAAAAATACAAATAGAAAACAAGTTACAATACTTAATAGAGTTAGTTAAATTTAGTTGTTTTTTTTTCAATGTATAGAATTTCATGTATTAAGTACCAGTAATTTTTTTATTTTTTTTAAATTCTAAAACTGTTAAGGTCATCATCATTAAGGCATATACTAAATTCTTTAATCCAACGTTCATAATTCAAGAGCTACCTGTACATTAAACTTAATCCAAAACTACTGCTCAATAAAATATGTTTCTGCAATTTTACTTTTTTGATAACATTTTTTATGGGAGACAAAGTTTTAAATTACTTCACGGTTTACAGACTCGTTCATTTTAGTTGTCCTTGATCTTAGGTTATTGAAATCTTCATAAATGGTCGATCAGATTGGACTTGAAGATATTTTTAACTTGTAAAATCTGTTTCTGATATAGTATGAAATTTTTTTTATTACCCGCAGTTACCTGGTACTACATAAAACATGTCCATTAAGGATTTATTCAAGTTAAGTTTCAACAGTTAGGTTTTTATGTTCTTCTGAAGCTATCCACTCCTTGCTGATTTTTTAAAAAAATCCTTTACATTAACCTTGCTTTTGTTCGTGGGTAGCTTGCTGGTTGGCAAAATGTTTGAATGGCAAATTGACCCACTTCCTGTCAACCTATCGAGTGGCAACTTGGCACATAGACTCGTCGCCGACGATAAAACATTCTATCAAATTTTCAACCCCACCTCAAAAATAAGTTTTTCAAGGGGAAAATTCCCAATGCGCTAAATGAGATTCTTTTTTAAAAAAAAAAAAAAAAATCTCAAGTGAGTTTGTCGTGTAATATTTTTTGTTTTTCTAAAATTGTTGGTGAAAAATTTTGTGATGTGAAAAAAATAAGTTTTTCAAGGGGAGAATTCCCAATGCGCTAAATGAGATTTTTTTTTAAAAAAAAAAAAAAAAATCTCAAGTGAGTTTGTCGTGTAATATTTTTTGTTTTTCTAAAATTGTTGGTGAAAAATTTTGTGATGTGAAAGCGGGTGGGTCATTAGAAAAATAATATAGCTCAGGGGCATGAAAAAAATGTGTGGTGGGGGGGAGCTCACTAATTGGGATTCTTACTTAAGTGCATTACAGGTATGCATGTTTTGTCATATTTTCAGCCCCCACCCCCATTGCTGGATATTACATTTAATAAAGAATATATGCGAAAAACTTTGCATTGTTAGGGGTTGTTTAATTTTATTATCAATTCAATTCTAAGAAATAACTCTATGTCACGCACATCTCTACCTACAATCAAAGCGTTATAAAAAATTTACAATTTTTACTGTGAAATATGTTGCTGTGATAATAATTATGTTCACCTCTTTTTTTTTTTTTTGGGACAAAAAAATAAAGGGAATAAGTTGTTTCATTTTCTAGTAACTTGTACTCTATAAGCTTTTATCATTTATGTACAAAGACCAAAACCATAAGAAAACATGTTGTCACAATGGCCCTGAACATTGTGGTAGATGATATTCTGAGCTTTGTCAAAAAACTGAATGCTTAAAGTATTCAAGTAAAGGGTATTTTTTAAATTTTAGTTTGTTTTTTTCTCTAACACAAATTTAAGCTTAAAGTTTTAAGTTAAAAACTTAAGAATTTTTTTTTTAAAGTAAAATGTATTTTTAGTTTTTAGCTAAAAACAGCAGCAAATTTTAGAAGAGTACCGGTACAGCTTGGGGTTATGAGACTTGGCTTTCATATTTATTGGAAAAGATAAGATTCTTTTATTGATCCAAATAAATGGAAATGTTATTGGTGACTTGAGCAAAGAAGAAATCTCAAAAGTCACTGGAGTTTTAGAATAAAAATTTTGGCAGAAGTTCATACCTATCTCTAACCCAATTTTGATAGCATTTAATACATTTCTGCTTATTCGACAGCACAGTTACAATTCAACTGTGTTGCCATGACTTGAGACATGAATTTGAAACAATGTAATCATTCCGCCTATTTAAAATGAAACAAACTGGATTTTTTTTAAACCACTCCTAGAAGAATTTTGATTGCATAGGTTAATAAGTTTATGTTCCACGTTGTCGACCCCCAAATAGGACTGCAAGCTTTTTCTTTCCTTTCCTTTTTTTTCCCCACATGATGAAAGTAGACTGTGTGCATGTCAGTGAATTCAACACGTGTGTAGGTTTATGAGTGGAGGTCTGCAGTTTGATAAATAATTAGAGTGCTTTTTAACTGATTTCCAAAAACCTGACATGCTCAAAGCAAAAAAAATATAAAATGCCATGAGCGATGTCTTTACTCCACTTCCATGGTTTTATTTTTATTTTTTGTTTTGAGCGTGGGAGATTTTTGCAGAGTTTGACCTATTTCATGATTTCACATTAAATAACTTACCATCATTTTAAATCACCTTTTTTTGTTTGTTTGTTTATTAGAATTTTTACATCTTAATCCTGTCGACTGATATCTAATACAAGACTGGATAAAATCTTTACTGCGTTGGCTTATTTTTCCGGCTTGTCTGAATGGGATTCCCATAATGTGTTACAGGAATGTGATTTATGTTATATGGTACAAACCAACGTGTATCTTTGGTGGTAAACCTCAATCTAAGACAAAATTTTTTTTAAAAATCTTCAGAGTTTAGTTGAACACATCTGATCTTTATTGATCTGCTATTTATAGTTTCCGGCCTTCTTCATTCAAATCTCTTGTGCAGTGATAAGGGATTAAAGCTTTTGCTTTGCCAGCAAACAGATTTAAAAAAAAACTGATCTAAAACTGGCCATTATTAGAATTCCAAGTCAACCATTGTCTGGATTGAACTATAATTTTGTTCCCATTTTCTAAATGAAATTCATGGATTTAATTATCAAACTTACGTATCAAACACCAAATAACTGACCATTTCCATTAAATGAAGACAGAGTAAATCAAAATTAACGACTAAAAAATGGGTCAAAATAATTAATACATTTTTATAGTCAAACATTTAGTCCACTTTAAACAATGAATTTACAGCATTTGTAACATTAACTAAGTTCTAAACATATTCAACTTGTGTCTGCTTGCTTGTCCAGTCTGTGTTTCACTAGAGCTTGTTGCAGCACAGGATAAAGTTTCAGGCAGTTTTCTACACATAACCTCATACTCTGTTGAAAAAAAGGAAAGGTTATTTTTATTGAACATTTAGGGTACCGGGTATATATTTCAATAAAAACTCTTGGCATTAACAATTTTTTTTTTAAATGCCTCGTTTCAAAACTGTTAATGAAACCAGGGTTCATGCAGACTTCCAGGTCCAAAATTCACACATTTTTCCTAACCCTCCAAAACATTTCTTTATTAAAATTCAAAGACCTGTTTATTATTATTTAAAATTTTAATTATAGCATAGATGCTAAATCACTGTATACAACATATACAAAGATAGCCAGATTATTCTAGTAGATATAGCCTTTACACAAAAGTATGTATAATGTAATGTAATATACATCAGTTTAATGTTCAAAAGTAATGGTTGAATGAATTAACTGTTGATACATAGTCATCATGAATCATTAGGCACAGGGTAATGATGAAATGTCCTAGACAAAATAGCTGAAAATGTCCTGGCTGCCCAGTTGTATCCATGTGAAATAGTTTCCAGTTCAATGCCATCCACAGTCAAGTTTCCAGTACAATGCAGAGCTGGCCGTAGACCAGTTTCCAGTACAATGCAGGGCCAACCGTAGACCAGTTTCCAGTACAGTGCAGGGCCAGCTGTAGACCAGTTTCCAGTTCAATGCAAGGCCATCCATAGACAATTATAAAAATTCCCTGTGTCCAAGCTTTGTGATAATCGACTGAATTGGACTACAAACATAAATATCCCTTAGCTTTTCCTGCATCTGTTTGTTCATTGTTTCATCAAACTTAATTAGAAGCTGCTCTTAGTTTTCTAAAAAGCTTATGAGCGTAGCAGGTGGCTACACCAGTAATGCTGAGATGTGCAGATTGCCCATCAGCATGTGCTGAGCGAAGCAGGTGGCTGCACCAGTAATGCTGAGATATGCAGATTGCCCATCAGTACGTGCAAACTGTCATGCTTAATTCACAAGTGGGAAACATGGCCTGGAAACGTCCTGCAGAGTCTTTGGGAAATATTTAGCTATAACGGCCGTTTAGACATTACATTGTCCGAATGATTTCAGCAGTGAGCAGTGCCATCTTTGTGCAGTAAGACTGAGTATTAACAGGTTTTGCTATTGATCCCTGTCCATGAGAGGCCCTTGATGATGACGGTAGTGGGTCAACATTATTAGTTGTATTTAAACATTCAGTAACCGTCGTCAAAGGAATAGAGGCTTTCTCATTCTGAGTGTGATTTTCTTCCTAAAATATAATATTCAACAAATTATTGCATTATACTTAATAATCCTGATATAATATTTTTAATCTCGTCTTAAAATTAATTGATAGTCTTAAGTCTGGATAAAATTATTTTTTAGTATACAAATTAGTGGCTCACTTAAATAAGTATAGAAAAGGAAACAGAAAGGAACCAGAAAGAAACCCGAAACGAGTCAGTAAAATTTAAATGTTATATCGGCCAAATTTTAAGTCGGCTAAGGGAACTGATAAATAGGACTCTAAGTTACTGTAACTTACCATTTGCATGGATGTTTAGCGCTCCTTCACTCATTGATGAGATATCAATGTTTATATATTTTTTTAAACCAATGGCAACAGGCTAGGCTTTTCTCTTGTCATTCGCTGCTTCTTTAGAAACAAACTTGTATTCCAACTTATTGAGCCATACATAATTCAAAGAACAAACTCCAGGCATATATAATAGTGTAGAAGGTTCAACAGATTTAAAGGATTACATTAGAGAACACACGTGTGTCGCTAATCCAAATAGAAAATGAAAGCAAAAACCAAAATATTTTACCAACACGCAGACCTGGTCAATTGTAGGACTGGTCTAATGTAAAATGTAGGCCTTGTCAAATGTAGACCTTGTCAAATGTAGACCTTGTCATTAAAGATAAAGTTACTATCTGATCACGCACTTGTTATGCATTAATTTTATGGCTTAAAGAAATCTACTGACCAATCGACAAAATTTCTTTCGACAAGGTTGCGGATCATTAAGAATTTCAGACTGCGCATTTTTTCTTTGTTTTTTTTCTTTCGATTTCTTAAAAATCCTTTTCCCCAAAATTTCAAAGAGGGTGAAGATTTTTTGCCAATTTGCTGCAAACGTTCCATGCACTGTAGAATTTTTAAAAAAATTTTCCCAAACCTTCAACTATGCTGCAAACACGAAACAATGGACTTAAGTGTTAGAAGTCCAAAACAAAAATTGAGCATTGATTTTTTTCCCCATACCTTTGTCAGTGTTTCACAGAGTATTTCTCCATCAGAGGAAATAGCTGAAACTTGATTGATGGAAGGAAGGAATGCCACGGTCATGCTTCCAGCATTGAGTTCTGCCTTGTGCTGTTCAAGTACAGATATTAACATTTATCATAGTGCACATTGTTTTTTAAATTATTATCTACCAGTTTATTATTTTTAGGTAGCATGAAACGCTGCAAAACCAACCAACTCTATAACCATTTTGAAAAAAAAATAATAGTTTTGCATAATCCGTATACGACGGCAAGTGACTTGGGGCTATTCTCGTCTCCTATTCTGATCACACGGCATCACAGAATGCAAATTCCCCTCAACTATGCTGTCACCATCAAGTTCTCAGAGCTACAGCTGCTGATGTCCAGTCAACTATTCTCGTAGATTTATTCAATAAAGTAGCTAACAAACTGCAGGACCAGTGAACTTAACAAGGTTGACATGTTGACAGAAAGAAAATAATTATTTGGAAGAGAAAAAAAATGGGGGGGGGGGGGGGTATTTCTGACTTTGAGACTTTTTAACTTTTAAAAAAATCTATCTTATTTAGACTATGTCTTATAACATTTAAGATAAGATACTTTTATTGATCCTAATAAATGAAATATGTTTTTTTTTTCATTCATCGTACATATTTTTTCAGTCTGGAAAATCCTTGTTTGAGTTTTTCGTTGTTCCTTAAAATTAGTCTGTAGCAAGACATTCGCCGAATAATTGCACAGTATGAATATCTGTTGAGTTCTTGAATGTGAGCAGTAATTTTGAACAGAGTTTTAGCTTTTTGTTTGAATGAAATTCTGTTGTTTTTTTTTCCAACATCATGGTTTCCAAAACTGTACATAATAGAATTGTGTTGTAACTTTAGGATTGTGTTGTCATTACAGGATTGTGTTGTAACTATATGATTGTGTTGTCATTACAGGATTGTGTTGTAACTATATGATTGTGTTGTCATTACAGGATTGTGTTGTAACTATAAGATTTTGTTATCACTACAGGATTGTGTTATCACTACAGGATTGTGTTGTAACTATATGATTGTGTTGTAACTATATGATTGTGTTGTCAAAATAGGATTGTGTTGTCAAAATAGGATTGTGTTGTCAAAATAGGATTGTGTTGTAACTACATGATTGTGTTGTCACTAAAGGATTGTGTTGTCACTACAGGATTGTGTTATCACTACAGGATTGTGTTGTCACTACAGGATTGTGTTATCACTACAGGATTGTGTTGTAGCTATATGATTGTGTTGTCACTACAGGATTGTGTTGTCACTCCAGGATTGTGTTATAACTACAGGATTGTGTTGTAAATATATGATTGTGTTGTCACTATAGGATAGTGTTCTCACTACAGGATTGTGTTATCACTACAGGATTGTGTTGTAACTATATGATTGTGTTGTCACTATAGAATTGTGTTGTCAAAATAGGATTGTGTTGTCAAAATAGGATTGTGTTGTCACTACAGGATTGTGTTGTAACTATAGGATTGTGTTGTCACTATAGGATTGTGTTGTCACTACAGGATTGTGTTATCACTACAGGATTGTGTTGTAACTATATGATTGTGTTTTCACTATAGGATTGTGTTGTCATTACATGATTGGGTTGTAACTATATGATTGTGTTGTCACTACAGGATTGTGTTATCACTACAGGATTGTGTAGTAACTATATGATTGTGTTGTCACTATAGGATTGTGTTATCATTATAGGATTGTGTTGTCACTACACAACTGAGTTGTCACTACAGGATTTACGCACGGTCTTGTTAAGAACAGCCTCCTCCTCCCGTTCAGTTGGGTCGACAATTGTCAGTGCGTCTCGCATGGCCTGAAACAGAGCAAACAGGAAAATTGAGAACAGTCCTATTATTCACTCTTGATCTTCCCCCCCAAAAAAAAATTGTTGGGAAAACAAAAATGTAGTGGAAGCAAAGTAAAAATTGACCTGGGCATTTCAAGAGAACTTTTTAAATTGCAGTGCACATCAAAAGAGCATGATGTTGTGTGTAGAAAACTGTCTGAATCTCCATCCTGTGCTGCCACAAGGTCTTGTGAAACACAGATTGGACAAATAGGCAGACACAAGTTGAATTTGTTGATAACTCACTTGATGTTATAATGTTACAAGTGCTGTAAATTCTCTGTTTAAATTAATGCATACATACAAAGTATGTTTTTTAAAACGTAAAAGGTGAAAAATGTATGTTTTAATTAAAGCAGTGATGGCTGGAACTAAGTAAATCGCTAATGACTTTGATAATAAAAAAGAAAAAGAAGACAGATGGATTTAATTAGAGCTCAGTGTACACATAGACTTACCACCGATGATGCCAAAACCAGGTCGTACATCTCAATACCTGCGGAAGCCAACGCCAGGGATGCACATATGATAGCAGCAGATAATGCTGAAATGTTAATCAAATGTGACAGTTGAGATGAGTTATGCGCACCAAATGAAAGACAATATTCTCGGACAAAATGATTTTTTCAGCTTGTATGACTTTTGAATTTTGTCAACGCAACATAAATTACAACACAACATACATAAAACGTGTATGCAACATACCCAGAAATGTGTAAACACAACATTAATTACACTTGTATGCACCATTAGAAGAACTTTGTAAAAGCAAAATCTTTCTTGATGTGATTACATTGCTAGGTAATATATTTTTTTAATTTATTGAAAATGTAGGATTTTTTCAAACAATAAACTGTATATGTTTTATTGAAGTTCTATAGTATTTCACTTACCAGAACCATCATTTTGCAGAACTGTTACATAGATGTTAATCTGTGACTTGGGATATTTTTGCTGATAATGGGGGAAAAAAAAAATTTCATGTCATTATGCTGACGGCGACTGAGAGATCCATAATAACTCAGGACGGGATCACTTATCTAAAAGTTAAATAAATCAGGAAATGCTCAGAAAGTCGTCACAGGTCGGAACTGTTAAAAGTGGGGACAAAACCCTTTCCAAATGCGACTAGCTGAGATCCCTACACAGAAACACTTTTTAAATAATTTCTTTAACCTACCAGACAAACAGCAGGTTCAAGGGCCTCTAATAATTGCACAGAGAGATCTTTTTCCTGATTATCTTGTTGGTGCTGGCGGCGCAGCCGACATGAAAATGTTGTGAACTTGAAATCACACGTCAGCTGACCCTTGAGGCTAAAATCCTCTCGACGAAGAACTTCCCTGGGTCCGTAGCTAAGGAATGAAGGAGGAAAAGGAAATATTTGATAAATCAAAGACCATTTGTTTTCTTTGACCAAGCGACATGTTGACTTTGGGCTTTTGACCAAACAACATGTTGACTTTGGGCTTTTGACTAAACGACATGTTGACTTTGGGCTTTTAATGCTGAACAAAAATGTCTTTAACAAATTCGCTACTACTGAGAGCGACTGCAACCTAACACAGTTGCTACTACTGAGAGCGACTGCAACATAACCCATTCCTTACTACTGAGAGCGACTGCAACATAACCCATTCCTTACTACTGAGAGCGACTGCAACATAACCCATTCCTTACTACTGAGAGCGACTGCAACATAACACAGTTGCTACCACTGAGAGCAACTGCAACCTAACACAGTTGCTACTACTGAGAGCGACTGCAACCTCACACAGTTGCTACTAAGGCCACAGAATAAGTCATTGCACTTACCAACATACACATACCCCACTGTCTTGTATGCTTGCTAATAGCATTGCAGCATTGGGATACTTGAAATGTAGAAAAAATCTGATTTTTTTAAAATGAAAAACTGTCGTTTTTATCTTCTTTTTTTTTCGTGAGCTTTGTGGTGTAAAGTTGGACTCGTATTCCGGAATTTGTGATTGTGTTGTACGAGAATTTATTGCTATAGTATTTCAGTTTCTTGACTCTTTGATAGCAGGGTAAAGTTCTATTTAAATTATTCATTAAACAATATTTCTGACAAGGGAGATGAGTCAGATGTTGATATAGTTCAAATGATCTGCACTAAAAAAATCCGATTTTGCTGTGATCCTCAGGAGTCTGACGTAGATACCCTGTCCCTGAGTGTTGGTCAAACAATTTGACCCTTGTTACTGATTAGATGAAAAGATTTTAAGAGATAGATGATAATCACTAATGAAATGGTTCAGCTTATGCCATTGTGATGAAAACCAACGGGTGTGTCATGCAGCTGTCAGCACATGTTAAGATCGGTACCAGTGATCTATCAATGGCAGTAGAAGATGGACAGTGGTAGAAGCAAGGAAACAACAACTGGCTGTACACAAGCTACAAGGGTTTCTGCTTTTCATAATTCCTAGAGATCCAAAATGAACGTAAATTATAATCCAACCTCCGAATTGCATTTTCAAAACTATGGATATGACTAATATAATGCCTTATGACAAAACTATTTGTAAACAAAAATTTTATTTAAAACTATTATTCTTTAAAAAATTCTTTAAGGTTTCTTTTGCATGATGTTTAGTTGTTGAAACTTTAATTTTTAAAATACAAGGGTGCATGCCCTTTAAGCTAACTCCCCTTGTCTAGTATTTCAGGGGATGTTTCAGAGTTAGTTAGAGGTTAGTAGCGAATGGGTTAAGAGCAATTAATTTAATTAAATCTCACCTAGTACATTGACTTTGAATTGAGAGGTATATTTTAACATAATAACTGCCGTGTACATTTATGTGACTTTAAATATTATTCTAGCTACTCACACAGCGCAGATGACTTTGGTTTGATCCACCTCAATGTATCCTGATCCTCTTGCCTGACTAATGACACCAGCACGTAAAACTTGAATAAATAAATATGTATTTAATAAATTTATTTTTAATAAATAGGGAAGAAATTAAATGCAAATACTCTTCATATAATTGACAAAAATTGCCAAATCAATACAAAACTCCTTTTTAAAAAAAGAAAATTAAATATTTTTTTTAATACAGATATTGAAATTAAAAAGTGATCAAAGATTTTTACTTCCAGTTTAAATGTACACAAAGAATCTCATAAACTACATTCTCTATAACCCATGTCAAATTTAGTCAGTATAACCTTTAACAGTTTTTAATTATTACATACAACCATAACATCAAACCACCTTTTCTATTTTTATTGCTAGCATATGTGGTAGGACTGGTTAGGAAAAAAAATCATTTTTATTTTTGGACATAGCAATCAATTTGATTAGTTCCATTAATTGCGTTGAATGTGAATTAGATTTTAATGCACAAAAGCAGAGAAATTAATATTTAGACGTGAAAACCCATGGGTCTTCTAACTGATGATTTCATAAGGAGACCAAAAATTTGGTTGTTCAAAAGACAATTTCAGCTGTCTGCTTTGTTTATAGATTGGTAAAAATCCAGTGACTCACGTTCTGTAGACATATTATTATTTATCATTTTTAGTTCAATTGTGTAAACTTACTTTTCTTTTTGCAATTGTCGCCCACTCTCAAAATTTTGATTCCAAAAACATTTTTTTTCATCATTACGAAACAATAGATTTCTGAGAGCAAGATAATATTGTTTTATTAAATATGAACACTTCCGACAGGCCTAAGCATTTTACATTTTTTATCAGTGATATTAATTATTAGCTCAGCAATTAGGCACAAGACATAAATTTACTCACATAACGGTCGTAATTGAGCAGGTAACCTTCCATCAAGTCGTTTCTTGTCAGCTCCTATCTAAAAATTTCAAGTTCTTTGAGATTATTTTAACTTAATCAGGGCTAGCCATTGAAAAAAATAGCATACATGTAATTCATTTTTCAACCAATCAAAAGACAGCACTTTTAGCATGGGTCCTCCCCCCCGGTGTTCATCTTGGTCTTGGGGTATCAGAGCAAGGATTGTACCTTTTTAAATTTCTTTTGACCTTTGTAAGTTGAATTTTAATAAACACAAATGGAACATTTAAGTTGAATATTTTCACATTTATTTTGTCAATCATCAGATTTAGTTTATGAAGCGAATTAATAACGCTCAGTAAAAACTGAAAAGTTATTGTTCATTCAGGTCCAACAATTGGTCTGTTGCAAAGTTATGTCACTGCACTTAGTTAGGGTGTGGCAAAACACATAAAGCTAATACAATCTTTACAAGCCTAGGCCATTGGTAGGTAAACTCATTAGTCAAAAGAGCCAAAAATCAGCAGCAGGACGAACACATTTTTTGGGAGCCAAATTTTAGGCACTTTGATGAAAATTTCAAAACATTTTAAAAAATATAAAAATACTACAGCTGTATAGAGCCCATATAATGGTTTACAAAAACACCAAGATCAATTAAATATGAGTTCTTCTAAATAAAGCCACAAAATACAATTTTAGTTTTTGTTAATATTCCGCAAAAAAATATTTTTAATCTTGATAATTTTCCTTTATAAATTTTTAAAATTTCCCAAATTTAATAATAATAATAATATTCTTTAGATATTAATTTCAAATTTTCTGTGGAATTGTTTAACATTTATCAGTATAAACAAATAATACAGGGATTATTTGATTCATTTATATAAAATTGACGATTATACTTTTTATTTTACCATTTTTTATGTATGTATTTTAGTCCCATTTGAATATGACCAAAAAATTAGTAATCTTGTTTCATAAATCAACATGTATCAACTTTGGCTGTTGATAGAAATTAAAATAAGTTCTAGTCATTTGCTTGAGGTAAGTACAAGCTTTTATGACCGTTCTTTAGTAAAAGCTTAAGAAATTCTTGGATTACTGTATCAGAAAATGAGTTATTTCTTGAAGAATACTGAGGATTATAAAAGTTTATAAGTTTCTTGTGGAATATTGTGATTTGTGAGTGAATTCAGGATATTTCAATATCAAAGGTAAGTGAATATTTTTAAAAAAACATTTTTATTTTAAAATTTAAGAATCATAATTTCCATTAAATAATAAAATATGATTACATGGCCTAAAATATCATTAACTATAATACTTAATTGTTTAATAATAGGTCTTGCAATAAAAAGTTGGGATGGTACTAGACCTATAGGCTACTATAGGCTATACTATACTAGGCTTATAGGATGGATATATATATATATGTATATAATAATAATAATAATAAAGTTTATTTTAAAAACACGCTTCATCCCCAAAAGCTCGAAGCGCGGTACAAAGTCAACCATATTAAAAATTAAAAAGAGAAATAAAAACAATCTAAAATTTACCACATTTAAAAACAGACGCAACAATATAAAGCTGCATACTAGCATACCGAGTCAAAGTCTTTCATCCCGTTTCAACCATAAGCAACACAAGCCAATATACATTAACTGAAAAAGATGGTAGATAGCATCACCTCAGAAGGTGTTTGCGAAATAGATGTGTTTTTAAATCTGTTTTAAAGGACTCCAATATATATATTTATTTATTTATTTACACTATTAGTTGTCATAATACAATAAGGATAGAGCTATTTATCCCACTCAAAATAAAAGCATCAGATAAAAGTAATTAGTGCTATTAAATTGTTGCTTTGTTTTAAAATATTATTAGTGGGTAATATGCTGGATTTCCAGTGTAAATCAAGCTACTTACTACAAAAACGTTCATTATCGATAGGTAATTTTGGGACACGTGACAAAAATTTTGTGCAAAAATTTCTCACCCATGCACTGGTCCTAACCTCACGAATTTTTGGTATGTTGTTAATTATACCTTCTTCTAACATTGGTATTTTCTTTTTTTTAAACTTATATTTTCCACAAAAAAATTATGAATGAGTCAAATTAGCTATTATTTACCATTAATTTTCAAATTCAAACCATCAAATTTTTTCTAAAAGGAAAGTGTCAAATGAACAAAAAACATGTCTGCTTTAAGTTGAGGGCAGAGGTAGAATTTATTAAAAAACTAGCTTTAGCAAAAATAATCCTAAACAACACTACCCTCGGTAAATTAAAAAGTGGAGGTCGCTGTTTTGACAAAATCACAATACCCGGTTTTCGGCACTTCCCGGATCATACCGAGGTCCCTACAAATTTCTTTTCAAGAATCTATAGAGAACCATGTTTTTCGGAGTCAAAACCGATTTGTGGCTGACTTGCCGAGCTGCACTCGGGTCACCAAAGAGCTGCATGTAGCTCGCGATTCCGCATTTGCTGAACACTGGGCTAGGCCTAGACCTGGCTAAGTAAAATTATTAAGCCAACATCATTCAACCAATTCATTAATTTCATTTCATCATGATCATGACTGATTATGTTTGACAGTTTTAGTTTTCAATTATTAAAATAAATTATTATGATCATATGATTATTTATGTCATGTGAATTATGTGTTTGTTATTTTTATCGAAGTGGATGCGTACACCGCGGCGGTGTACCTAGCGAAACCATCGGCTTTGGCCTGGGTACACCGCGGCAAAAATGTACCATTGGCCTGGTTTTAAGATATGCTTGTTAGAGAAGATCTTGTATGGTCAAGTGGTAGAGTGGACACTTGGCGATATTATATCTTGTGATCGATTTCCAGTAGGGGATCGAGTTTTTTCCTTCCCATTTTAATTTAAAATATTACTATATTTAAATTATCATGTTCTTTTGCAACAGTAGTTTCATGAGATGTTTTTAAATATTTTGTTAGCAATTTAAACAATTTAAATATATGTTATATTCAGATTATTAAATGTTTCAACAAGTTGTGCGGGCCTTTGACTTTGAAAATACCGGTAATTTTAGTAATAAGACATTAGAAAAGAAACTGAAAGTTTCTGAAAGCGCATGTATAGTGTATGTAACATTTATAAGAGAAACATTTTGAATACTAAGTGATATTCTATTGTATTTCAACATCCTTCATGTAGTTGAATATTTACCTTTTACTTTTACTAACACCCAAAGAAAATACCAGTACCGGTATATCAATAATATCATATGAATATTAATGTGCATGGTCGTATTTCAACCATCTTGCTTTCACTATGCATTGGCAAAATGTACACACGATATCAATGGTTCATTTACAACCCTCAGTCTCAGAGCAAATCTTTTGAAAACACCTCGATTTTAGAAACTTACGGAGCGGTAGCAAACTGTATAGCAAAGCCATAGGTCTGCGTTTACCCTTTTCATGATGGAATTTGTTTCCAGAATGACATGGCATGAGCTATTCTCAGGGTAAAACACGACGTTTTCTCACAGAAACCATTGCACAATGCGCTTGGGACAGGATTTGCGCTATATTGGCTATATCAAAGTTTTTTTATTTTATTTATTGTTTTTTTTGGTTAAAAAATCTATCCTTGCCGGGGGAGGTGGCGGGGGGGGGGGGGGAGGCGGGTTATGGGCAGAGGCTTAACCAAAAAGGGGGCCTACCCAAATCACGGCTCTGGATAGGGGTTGTCCACAAAGGACGTCCGCACAACAAACTTTCCTTTTGCCCCCCCCCCCCTTTTTTCAGCCGGTATTTTTTTTTACTAATGTGTAATGCCAATGTAAAACTAAATCAATGATATTTAATTATTGTTAAAAGACTTTTAAAAATCACTGTAGTGTTTTGTATTTATCATCATACTGTTGTTTTGTGTTGACACACGCTTGGTATCACAATGACAATGCCTCGGACAACTTCATGATCAATGTATGAGTGTGTGATTCTCTTCCCGTAGTGTATTTGTGGCGTAATTATATCTTGGTGCAACAAAATAGATACACTGGCTTCCCATTCATTTTTTTCACCACGCCCCGAGGGATAAAATAAAATGTTATAATTATAATGCCACCAAAAAAAAACAACTGGTTAGTTATGTTTAAACTTTAAGCTGAGTAGTTACTTCCATACCAAATCAATAGGTGGGGTCAAGCAATAGTCATAAGGACTGTGTGATATTTCGGGTCCACTGATGCGTCGCGTATCTGTGGGCATTTTAACGTTTTATTATCCTTAGAAACACGAGTTTATCACTACAGGTTTACTATTTGACTGGAGGAAGCCATTTTGTTAAGGGAGATCACTTTTGTTGCTTGTTGCTATTGCTGCGTATTGTGTATCAAGACTCCAGTTTACTCGTCTAATTGTCCGTTAAATAAAATTAATAAATCATGGTTGACATCACATATACACATTTAAAAGAATCAAATAATCAAATACAGTAAACTAAATTAAACATTTTATCCAGTTTCGATAATAATTAGTTATTTAAACGTTAGATTAAAAACAGTTTAAAAAAAAAAAAAACTTACTTTACTATGCGTACCTAAGCTAAGATAAGGGTAGAAAAAGGCTAAGACAAAAAAGTATAGACCTAGGACCATGGCTGTCTTTATAGTAGATGGAACCCTTGGCAAATTACTGCACTGAGGCCCCCAAACCATCTAAATACTCACGACGTGCGGAGGAGGGGTGAGAAAGTTAATCACCCCTGGCACCAACATCGAGTGCGCCAAAATCGTCTTTAGATAGGCCCTTAATAGTGAATTAAACGATGAAATTCCATGCATTTTACATAGCAAGGGGCGCCAAAATCGTCTTACTAGTCCGCCCACTGCGCCACTTCTCCTCTGCATGGCTGTCTATAGCTACTATTCAAGTCATGTTATGCAATTATTTTTAAACTGAGTAAGATTTTTTGTTTTTAATGCACAGTTACGAAAAGGTTTTTAAAAATACTGTTTTGTAGAAAAGATCTAATATTTTGTATGGCTATTTAAAACAGGTCATTTTTTTTTATAAATTGTATCTAAATGGTATTTTAAAAAGCCCCCCTCCCCCAAACTCTTTTATTAGAGGCGTGAGGCCCCCCTAGAATCGGCCCTGGGCAAGGGTCCGGTGTGCCCATGCCTTAAAAGACTGCAATACCTATGGGGTCGTCCATTAATAACGTCAACACTTTTTACGCAATTTTTGCCCCCCCCCCTTGTCAACATTACTGTCAAACATTTCCGTTGGGGGGGGGGGGGAATGAGTAAAATAAAACCGAATCAGAGAAGAAAACCACCAAACTTTTTTAAAAACTTTTTCCTTGGCACTGGGAGTCATACATGCGGACACTGACTGTTTTTCCTGATATCTCGAATCTCCTTTCAACAACTTTTCTCATTTGACTCGACCTAATTCACAGGTAGTTGCAATGAACATCTTAAAGTTAAAGGATGCCATTGTATAAAGCATGAGAAAGAGACTTATTTTTGGAGGACTAGTCTTTTTTTTTCTACCATATCTGTCTACTAGGTCTAACACACTGGTACATAATTTAAAATTTAATAATAAAAAAACCTTAACTGACTTGAGAGCATTTTTGTTTGGTTGTTAGTTATTTGAGTTGTGTACTCAAGTAATCCATAAAATAAATTAGGGGCCAGTAAGGAGTAGGCAGCCAATAAACTCATTCAATTAGGTCAGATCATTCCTTTGCCAATTGTCTCCTTTTTCTTTCTCACATTCCTTGTTGGTACCCGTACAGTTAACTATTGTTTGTATCATTTCTTCATTTAATTACAGATGTAATGATTGAGTGGGAGCAAGTATATGAGATCTGTGAAGGGAGTTTGTTTTCAAGGCAACTAAGTCATGCCACATTGAAAATAAAATACTGATAACCCTAAATAAATAGAGCCATTGAAAAAATATCGTACATACAAACCATACACAAACAGAAAGACAAAAATCCACAAAGGTTAATTTTTTAAAAATTTGTTGTGACTTTTATTGCAAAAAATTAAACATTTTATACCAATTTTGACTTTTACGCAAAATGAATAAAGACAAATTTGTATTGCATTGTATTGTAACTTATTGTACTGTATTGTAAATGAAATTTGGCATACACATTAAGAATAGCATTGACAAAAAGTTTAAAGAAGCTTATTACACAGCAGTTATTGGAAGTGTTACAAATGGTATGTATGTGGTGGTCACATAAATATTCGAGAACTCTTCAGGAGTAGCAAATGTAAAAATGTTATAAAACTTTTCTAGTTGGATATACCCGGTATATAAAAAAAAAAGCCTCTTGAATTTTTTTAAAGAATATCAATGAAAAGAAGCATGCAATGTTTGAAGGCTGTAGCTAGAATACTTTTCCTCCCGATTCATTTGGCGTTCCTAAAAAATCCGGAAAATGCAAAATTGAGAAAAATGAAAAAAAGGATAAAATTGTGTTTTTTTAAATTAGAGGGCTGCATGAACGATATAGGATGCATACACCATGTACATATACCATTCATGAATTAAAAAAACAATTAGAAAACTAAGACAGAAAAGATAGAAAAAAAAATTAACACACGAACCTAATAAAAAAAAAATACATAAATAAAAAAATTCTGAAAAATTTTCCTTTGAGATATTTGTTTAAAAACCATCCATCATTAAGTAGAGAATGTCAATATAAATAAGCATGCAAAGTTTCAATTATGTAGTTCCAAAACAATTCCTCCTGATTCATCAATTGATGTCAGAAAAAAAATGACAATGCTTTATCGATAAAAGCTGAAAAAGTCACTGACAAATGCTTCTTTAAAAAAAATTAAAGGTTACTTGAACAACATTGGATGCATACATCATGAACACATTCCACTCGTTAATTAAAAAAAAAAAATTTAAGTTTATAGATATAATTGATAGAATATAAATGAATGCATTTTCCCAACATCCCACTAGCCTAATAAAAATAATAAGACCATAAAAACTTCGGATTTTGTTTATGAGACATGTAATAAAAAAAACAAACATCAATCATTATGTAGAGAATATAATAGAAAAAAACCTTGCACATTTTGAAGCATGTGGTAATAATACTTTTCCTCATAATACATTTGATGTCAGAGATAAATGGAAAATCCTAAGTGGACCACTTTAAAAAGAGAAGAAAATTCAATTAAGCAATATTAGAAATATAGGATTCAAATAAAATGAAATTTAAAGCATATCAATGTGAAATTATCATAAAAGATAAGAATTTTCTAGATATTTTTACGAATGTTAAACAATATTGTAGAACATGTTAATGTTTTTAATAAGAAATCAATAGACTCAGTTTAGGAAACAAAAATCTGCCCAAGAAATATAATAAAAATGGTTATTTACACAATTTTGTAACATATTTTCAGCACATTAAAAACATTTACATATTTATAAAAGTAGCTGAAATCTTTCGGAACCAATCATTGCGAATTAGCGGCGACTGTGGAGCTGCCCACAGCCTTACTAAACAGAAACATGGCAAAGCCGTGGAGGCCACGTCGCTCTAGCTATGCCGACGTATTACTTTAGTGTATCAGAGAATGACTTTGGTAATCAGCAGACCAGACCAGGGAAACGGCACATGGGCAAAAAAAAGGTGCGAAGCAAGAGACTCGGCTACGTAATAGAATTCCACCAACAACAGAGAGCGACCAATGTCCAAGCGTTGGGTGATGTGTAACGTGTCCTCATAATGAGCAGATCTGGGGAAACGTTACGAGCGGACCAGGGGTTATATTGCGATATGTTCACTAGAAAGTTGTGCCACCCACTACCACTAAGTTTAAAAAGAGCAACAAAAAAAAACAACTCTTCAGCTCGCCGAAAATGCCGCCCCTCATTATAATTTTTTTTTAAAAAGTGGCACCTGTGTGGACCACCCCCTCCACAGCCCCCTTCCCATGCAAGTGTATTGACTTTTTCTCGACAATTGAGAGTCATAGTAGGCAAATAAGCTATTTAAATGGTCTGTAGTTGGTCAGCTCTAATTTGATAGATGGAACTTAATTATTTAGATGCCACCTAAGTTGACTCTGGTTTGTGGAGAGTAAAATGAGAGGCAGTGTTAGTGATTTTATGTATCTGGATGGAACCAAGTTGCTTTGTTAGTCATCTGTTTGCAATGGTGTTTATTTCGCTACTGACATATATTTCATTACTTTCCCGCCTTTTGCCTCTTAGTCTTAGTAAATCACCAGCTATTTATTGAGAAAGAAATCGAAACTGTCACAAATTTTAAGAAAGGAAATTGACAATTTTATTTAAAGTTTTAACAAACATTTCCCACATAACCCCCACCCTCAAAATTCTAGCCGCGTTACGTCCGTAATGGATGCACAACCGTGCAAAGGAAAAGCAGCGCCCTGGGCGAATGCGCCCCCTGATATTGAGGTCCCTTGCGAGTACCACCTTTACATTGCTGTGCATGGATCCAGTGGGCTAGAAAGAAATATCAGACAAAGTAGATAGATCTATAAAATTTTTAAAAAATTATTTAAATCTAAATATATCCAATTGGGCAACTTTTATAACGTATCTTTAAAGACAGAAGAGTTCACCTTGTTTTCCCACAATGGCGTCGTAAATGACAAAAGAATCATGAAATGCAGGCTACTTTTTTTTTTTTAATCTTGTTCAATTTTGTTAAATGATTATTGTACAAGTTCTCCTTGTTATTGTACATGAAGAGCTATTTTAGGCCTTTAATATCAGGTAAAGAGGAAGTTTTAATTTTATATCACTAGAAATAATTAATCGCGCTTAAATTTCATTGCCTAAGCCTTAAGTCTTAAGTAAGCCTTAATTTTTAATAATAAGCCCCCCCACCCCGCCCCCATAATAAGGGAAGGCTAATAAAAGGGTAATAATAACTTAAATAAGGGATTACCTTACCACATGTTTTTATATATTGTTGCTTTACTTTTAACTTTTACTTTACCCTTTACAGTAGGCTACTTTACTTTTCCTAATTTAGGCATGCTACGATTTTGGCATATAATGTTGGCTACTATTTTTAGATGTTTTTTATGATTTTTATAACATGCTAATCAGTGCCGAAAAGACAAAACTGATGACAAATAATACCGCAGGCATCACCACTGAAATTAAGGTCGGGGAGGATAGATTAGAGACTGTCGGCCGCTTCAAATACCTAGGAGCAATAGTCTCAGAAGAAGGCTCCAAGCCTGAACTGATGTCCAGGATTGCGCTGACTACAACAGTACTAAAGAAGCTCAAGAAAATATGGAATGACAAAAATATAGTCCCCAGCA